TCTGTATTCCCCTGGCAGAGGAAAGCAGAGATTTCTTCTCATTTACTCACAGGGGCCAAAAACTGCGTTACACCCGTCTTCCCCAGGGACATAAATGCTCCCCGGGCATTTTTAATCAGACTTTGAACGCTCTGCTGAGAGAGTTGGTGCTTCCGGAGGGCGTGGTACTCCTACAGTATGTGGACGATCTCCTCCTCGCCTCGAGAACGGAGCAGGCCTGTCTACAAGCCACTAGGGACACTATAGTCTTCTTACATTCAAAAGGATTTAAGGTCAGTAAGGAAAAGCTACAATGTTGCAGGCCTGCGGTGACCTTCCTGGGACGTAGTGTGTCTGGAGGATCCACAAATATGTCTCCAGAGCACAGAGATGCTATTTTGTCATATCCCAGACCCACCATGGTGGGGGACATGTTGTCCTTCCTGGGTCTGATAGGCTATAGCAGACACTATGTGGCAGATTTTGCAGACAAAACTAAACCTTTAAGAGCTTTAGTTAATGAACATGGCATGAGAAACACAAGGGCTAAACTGAATTGGGACAGAGATAGTGAGGCACAGTTTATCTCACTCAAACAGGACCTATCCTCTGCGGCTCATTTGGCTTCACCAGATTATGCTCTCCCGTTTTATTTAGATGCCACAGTGCAGTCTCAGGTAGCTAACGGGGTGTTATATCAAAAGTGCAGAGGCCAGAGAAAAATCTTACAGTATATTAGCGTTCCATTGGATTCAATCGAGGCTAGACAGGTTGACTGTTCTAGGTATGCTGCAGGAGTGGGACATTTGATTAAGAAAACAGCACATTTAGTCATGGGGCATGCTTTAGAAATATTGACTGATCATGGCGTTTGTGCATATGTGTCCTCAGCTGCATTCACTATGTCACCTTTGAGACAGTCACGGCTCTTACAGGTGCTCACTCAGCCCCACATAACTTTTACACCTCTTGGCATTAACATGGCTGACCACATGCCAAGACAGGGTGAGCCGCATGACTGCAGTGTAAGGGTAATAGACAGTCTGAAAGTGCGACCTGACCTCCAGACTGACCCACTTCAGGACCCCGACTTACAGCTTTTCACAGATGGGTGTTGCTGGAGAGAGAGGAATGGCAGCCTGAGAGCGGCATATGCAGTTGTCAGTGTTAACGGTGAAAATTTTGTTACAGTAAACAGCGGTGTTTTAACTGACAAACCATCAGCGCAGGCGGCAGAACTAGAGGCTCTCTGCGCCGCCTTGGAGTTTGCTAAAGGTAAATCTGTAAATATTTACTCCGACTCTGCGTATGCTACTCAGGCTGTCCATTTCAACCTCTCCGAGTGGAAAAGAAACGGCTTCTTGACTGCTAAAGGCCGACCCATCACACATAGAGCCCTGGTGGAGTGGCTGGACAGCATCTTGGGGAAGTGGAAGCATGTAATTTTGTCTGTTATCACAAGCCTTGCGGCCATCTTTGCAATAATAATGGTTGTAGGATGCTGCTGTATACCTTGTATACGTTCTCTTTGTGTTAAAGCTATAGACACCGCTGTTAACCCTGGACTGAGAGGTCAAATGCTTGCATTGGTTGAGGATTCCCCCGTCCCGTCGCCTGAGGAAGGTTATTGAAATGTGTGGCCTTTTTTTAATAGCGGCCAAAAGAGGGGACTGTTGTATTAAATATAGGCTAAAAGGCGATGTGAATTAGATTGACCTGAAATTGAACTCTGTCTGTCTCCAAGCAAAAAGAAAGACCTTGTATTGCCCAACTCCCCTTGTCCCATTTTGTCCAAAGTGCATGGGTGAGTTAATGATAGTTAATCTGGGGGGATTCTGCTAATCCTTTCAAGTTGTGAAAGAAGGAGATGGAGTCCAGAATCTGGAGGAGAAGCCTTGAGATCCCTCTGCCTTATCTCAAAGGAACTAATAAATCGATAGAATTAGGGAGGGGTAGTGCGTGAATGATTTCTGTTTAGGTTTGGCGAGACGGAGGAAAAGGCCGGACCTTGGACCAGACATCTGCCTGATACGACACGCCCCCTTCTTCATGCACATTTACTTATAATAACCTCATGCTTGTGTTAGTCTAGACCGGACCAGGGACAGGAGTGTGATTTGCGTGGAGCGCCCACCAAAATCATACTTTTATATTTTATATAGAGAATAAGGGATAGTTACTTTTGGTCCGAACAGCTGTTTTAGATTCTTTTTGTATTAGGGAAATAAACCTTTTTGAATTTAACTTCCTGAATCATGGTCATCTTTATAAGGGATTTTGAACACGTCATTTTTTAATATAATACCCCTCACATTAGCCCCTCACGTTAGCCCCTCTCGTTAGCCTCACACGTTAGCCCCTCACATTAGCCCCTCACGTTAGCCCCTCTCGTTAGCCCCTCACATTAGCCCCTCACGTTAGCCCCTCTCGTTAGCCTCACACGTTAGCCCCTCTCGTTAGCCTCACACGTTAGCCCCTCTCGTTAGCCCCTCACATTAGACCCTCACGTTAGCCCCTCTTGTTAGCCTCACACGTTAGCCCCTCTCGTTAGCCCCTCACATTAGCCCCTCACGTTAGCCCCTCTCGTTAGCCTCACACGTTAGCCCCTCTCGTTAGCCTCACACGTTAGCCCCTCACATTAGCCCCTCACGTTAGCCCCTCTCGTTAGCCTCACACATTAGCCCCTCTCGTTAGCCCCTCACATTAGCCCCTCTCGTTAGCCCCTCACATTAGCCCCTCTCGTTAGCCCCTCACATTAGCCCCTCTCGTTAGCCCCTCTCGTTAGCCTCACACGTTAGCCCCTCTCGTTAGCCCCTCTCGTTAGCCCCTCTCGTTAGCCCCTCACATTAGCCCCTCTCGTTAGCCTCACAGGTTAGCCCCTCACATTAGCCCCTCTCGTTAGCCCCTCACATTAGCCCCTCTCGTTAGCCCCTCACATTAGCCTCACACGTTAGCCCCTCTCGTTAGCCCCTCACATTAGCCCCTCTCGTTAGCCCCTCTCTTTAGCCTCACACGTTAGCCCCTCTCGTTAGCCTCACACGTTAGCCCCTCACGTTAGCCCCTCACATTAGCCCCTCTCGTTAGCAGGTCATCTATCGTTTCCAATGTTTCCCGCCTCAAACGGCGGCTCTAAAACCCCGCGGCTCTGGGCTGATTGATTTGTCGCAGGAGGCAGTATTTAGAGCCTCTTATCGATAATGGGCAGGATTCTAAAAAGGCGAAGGGTAACAGAAGCGCCCGGAGGCTCAACAGAGACGGCGGCGCTCGGAGGGAGGCGGCGCTGCTTTCAGATGAGTTTATTCTGTGAGTGTGAGGTTTTACAGTCCGGACATGTACCTGTGTGTTTAGTTTCAGGCAGTGGGAGTGCAGTGCAGCGAAGGTTCACAGAGAAATATTATTCATTTCAGAAGTTGTGCCACGACATGGATCCAGGTTGAACCGGAAAGACTGTGGATAAAGAAGAAAGTTTTAGATTTATTCTTTTGTTTTCTTGTGATATGCAGATTTTGGAGGTAAATTTGGTTCTTTGGTCCCTGCACTCGCTCACTGTGGCTCAGAGATTTGACAGGCAGGCCTCGGAGGAGAGACCAGAGAGAGACCCCAGGGAGACCAGAGAGAGAGACCAGTGGAGATTTTAGTGTCCCTTGTCCGCATAATAACTTTTTACATTTTGAAATCCATTGTATGTCTCTCTCTGGACTCTCTCTGGACTCTCTCTGGTCTCTCTCTGGACTCTCTCTGGACTCTCTCTGGTCTCTCTCTGGACTCTCTCTGGTTTCTCTCTCTGGTCTCTCTCTCTGGACTCTCTGGACTCTCTGGACTCTCTCTGGTCTCTCTCTGGTTTCTCTCTCTGGTTTCTCTCTCTGGTCTCTCTCTGGTTTCTCTCTCTGGTCTCTCTCTGGTTTCTCTCTCTGGTCTCTCTCTGGACTCTCTCTGGACTCTCTCTGGTCTCTCTCTGGACTCTCTCTGGTCTCTCTCTGGTTTCTCTCTCTGGTCTCTCTCTGGTCTCTCTCTGGTTTCTCTCTCTGGTCTCTCTCTGGTCTCTCTCTCTCTGGTCTCTCTCTGGTCTTTCTCTCTCTGGTCTCTCTCTGGTCTCTCAAATTACACTTTCAACAAGCATCACAGGAGCTGCTGAACTCCTGATGTTTCTCAGACATATTTCAGACTCATCCACAGAGTAGGAGCTGACAGGACCAGGCCATAATCCGCTGCAACATGTCTTTACAGACTCCTGTCTCTCTCAGACCCACAGGCTCCAGAGGATCCAGGCCTCAGAGACGGGTTCAGACTCAGGTCTCATATGCATAATGTGACTCTCACCAAACTCTGCTCGCAGCGCCTCTCTCTCTGTTCTCTCTCTCTCTCTCTCTGTTCTCTCTCTGCTCTTTCTCTCCTCTCTCTCTGGTCTAAGTAAAATACACATCATGGTATAGAAAGCTCTCCTGCTGGGACTCTGAGGAGCACAGGGACTGGCCTCCTGCTGGGACTCTGAGGAGCACAGGGACTGGCCTCCTGCTGTGACTCTGAGGAGCACAGGGACTGGCCTCCTGCTGTGACTCTGAGGAGCACAGGGACTGGCCTCCTGCTGTGACTCTGAGGAGCACAGGGACTGGCCTCCTGCTGGGACTCTGAGGAGCACAGGGACTGGCCTCCTGCTGGGACTCTGAGGAGCACAGGGACTGGCTTCTTCTCTAACAATGTTCAAATCTAGGTTAAAAACAGTTTTGTTTACCTGCATCAACTGAAGGATTTTATCTTTACCCTTTTTAAAACATTGTGATAATTTATGATTTTAGAGTTGCCTTGTGTCCTATATAAATAAACTTGCCTCAAACACAGCTGCTCATACTATAACATTCTGGGATGACAGCAACTATCTCTCTTCCTTCCCGGTCCCTCCTGCTCCACCTTCCTGTCTGTAAAAACATATATTGTAAACGTCGACAGCGGCCTTCACACCTCCCACTGAAACACATAACACAGTGTTTTGTTAGAGCTGAAAACCCGCTGGATTGAAATATCTACTTCCTCTTTTCACTCTGGCTTATCTCCCTCTGACAGCGCTCGGCAGAAGAGGCGTGTGATGACTGTAATGTAATTTGACCCGTCACTAACAACGTCCCGACACCTGCCTCGCCGCCGTCCTCGCCGCCGTCCTCGCCGCCGTCGCCACGTCTGAGCACCACACGGTTAATTAAAGGTGACAGTACGGACCTGTAGCTCTGCCTCTGCATGTTTACTGTGACCGCGTGGATGTCCCGAGACCTAATGGGGCTAATGAGGAGAGGCAGGAGGTGGTCCGGCAGAGGGAGGTCAGGCAGGAGGTGGTCCGGCAGGAGGAGGTCCGGCAGGAGGAGGTCCGGCAGAGGGAGGTCCGGCAGAGGGAGGTCCGGCAGAGGGAGGTCCGGCAGAGGGAGGTCCGGCAGAGGGAGGTCCGGCAGGAGGAGGTCCGGCAGGAGGTGGTCCGGCAGGAGGTGGTCCGGCAGGAGGTGGTCCGGCAGAGGGAGGTCCGGCAGAGGGAGGTCCGGCAGAGGGAGGTCCGGCAGAGGGAGGTCCGGCAGAGGGAGGTCCGGCAGAGGGAGGTCCGGCAGGAGGACGTCGGGCAGGAGGACGTCTCTGGCTCCACAGGGACGTCCTCTTCTCTCTCCTGTTGTGTCTGACTTCAGCTGTAGCCTGTTCATTGCTATTCACCAGCGGTTTTATTGTCGGTTTCATGGTCTGTCTCATGGTCTGTGTCATGGTCTGTCTCATGGTCTGTCTCATGGTCTGTTTCATGGTCTGTTTCATGGTCTGTTTCATGGTCTGTCTCATGGTCTGTCTCATGGTATGTTTCATGGTCCGTCTCATGGTCTGTTTCATGGTCTGTCTCATGGTCTGTTTCATGGTCCGTCTCATGGTCTGTTTCATGGTCTGTTTCATGGTCTGTTTCATGGTCTGTTTCATGGTCTGTCTCATGGTCTGTTTCATGGTCTGTCTCATGGTCTGTTTCATGGTCTGTCTCATGGTCTGTTTCATGGTCTGTCTCATGGTCTGTCTCATGGTCTGTCTCATGGTATGTTTCATGGTCCGTCTCATGGTCTGTTTCATGGTCTGTCTCATGGTCTGTTTCATGGTCAGTCTCATGGTCTGTTTCATGGTCTGTTTCATGGTCTGTTTCATGGTCTGTTTCATGGTCTGTCTCATGGTATGTCTCATGGTCTGTCTCATGGTCTGTCTCATGGTCTGTTTCATGGTCTGTCTCATGGTCTGTCTCATGGTCTGTTTCATGGTCTGTCTCATGGTCTGTCTCATGGTCTGTCTCATGGTATGTTTCATGGTCCGTCTCATGGTCTGTTTCATGGTCTGTCTCATGGTCTGTTTCATGGTCCGTCTCATGGTCTGTTTCATGGTCTGTTTCATGGTCTGTCTCATGGTCTGTCTCATGGTATGTCTCATGGTCTGTCTCATGGTCTGTTTCATGGTCTGTCTCATGGTCTGTCTCATGGTCTGTTTCATGGTCTGTCTCATGGTCTGTCTCATGGTCTGTTTCATGGTCTGTCTCATGGTCTGTCTCATGGTCTGTCTCATGGTATGTTTCATGGTCCGTCTCATGGTCTGTCTCATGGTCTGTCTCATGGTATGTCTCATGGTCTGTCTCATGGTCTGTTTCATGGTCTGTTTCATGGTCTGTCTCATGGTCTGTCTCATGGTCTGTCTCATGGTCTGTCTCATGGTCTGTCTCATGGTCTGTTTCATGGTCTGTCTCATGGTCTGTCTCATGGTCTGTTTCATGGTCTGTCTCATGGTCTGTTTCATGGTCCGTCTCATGGTCTGTTTCATGGTCTGTCTCATGGTCTGTTTCATGGTCTGTCTCATGGTCTGTCTCATGGTCTGTTTCATGGTCTGTCTCATGGTCTGTCTCATGGTCTGTCTCATGGTATGTTTCATGGTCCGTCTCATGGTCTGTTTCATGGTCTGTCTCATGGTATGTCTCATGGTCTGTTTCATGGTCTGTCTCATGGTCTGTCTCATGGTCTGTTTCATGGTCTGTCTCATGGTCTGTCTCATGGTCTGTCTCATGGTATGTTTCATGGTCCGTCTCATGGTCTGTTTCATGGTCTGTCTCATGGTCTGTTTCATGGTCCGTCTCATGGTCTGTTTCATGGTCTGTCTCATGGTCTGTCTCATGGTATGTTTCATGGTCCGTCTCATGGTCTGTTTCATGGTCTGTCTCATGGTCTGTTTCATGGTCCGTCTCATGGTCTGTTTCATGGTCTGTCTCATGGTCTGTTTCATGGTCTGTCTCATGGTCTGTCTCATGGTCTGTTTCATGGTCTATCTCATGGTCTGTCTCATGGTCTGTTTCATGGTCTGTCTCATGGTCTGTTTCATGGTCTGTCTCATGGTCTGTCTCATGGTCTGTCTCATGGTCTGTCTCATGGTCTGTCTCATGGTCTGTCTCATGGTCTGTCTCATGGTCTGTCTCATGGTCTGTCTCATGGTCTGTTTCATGGTCTGTCTCATGGTCTGTTTCATGGTCTGTCTCATGGTCTGTCTCATGGTCTGTCTCATGGTCTGTTTCATGGTCTGTCTCATGGTCTGTCTCATGGTCTGTCTCATGGTCTGTCTCATGGTCTGTCTCATGGTCTGTTTCATGGTCTGTCTCATGGTCTGTTTCATGGTCTGTCTCATGGTCTGTTTCATGGTCTGTTTCATGGTCTGTTTCATGGTCTGTCTCATGGTCTGTTTCATGGTCCGTCTCATGGTCTGTCTCATGGTCTGTCTCATGGTCTGTCTCATGGTCTGTCTCATGGTCTGTTTCATGGTCTGTTTCATGGTCTGTCTCATGGTCTGTCTCATGGTCTGTCTCATGGTCTGTTTCATGGTCTGTTTCATGGTCTGTTTCATGGTCCGTCTCATGGTCTGTCTCATGGTCTGTCTCATGGTCTGTTTCATGGTCTATCTCATGGTATGTCTCATGGTCTGTCTCATGGTCTGTTTCATGGTCTGTCTCATGGTCTGTCTCATGGTCTGTCTCATGGTCTGTTTCATGGTCTGTTTCATGGTCTGTCTCATGGTCTGTTTCATGGTCTGTTTCATGGTCTGTCTCATGGTCTGTCTCATGGTCTGTTTCATGGTCTATCTCATGGTCTGTTTCATGGTCTGTTTCATGGTCTGTCTCATGGTCTGTTTCATGGTCTGTCTCATGGTCTGTCTCATGGTCTGTCTCATGGTCTGTCTCATGGTCTGTTTCATGGTCTGTCTCATGGTCTGTTTCATGGTCTGTTTCATGGTATGTCTCATGGTCTGTCTCATGGTCTGTCTCATGGTCTGTCTCATGGTCTGTTTCATGGTCTGTCTCATGGTCTGTCTCATGGTCTGTTTCATGGTCTGTTTCATGGTCTGTTTCATGGTCCGTCTCATGGTCTGTCTCATGGTCTGTCTCATGGTCTGTTTCATGGTCTGTTTCATGGTCTGTTTCATGGTCTATCTCATGGTCTGTCTCATGGTCTGTCTCATGGTCTGTCTCATGGTCTGTTTCATGGTCTGTCTCATGGTCTGTCTCATGGTCTGTCTCATGGTCTGTTTCATGGTCTGTTTCATGGTCTATCTCATGGTCTGTCTCATGGTCTGTTTCATGGTCTGTTTCATGGTATGTCTCATGGTCTGTCTCATGGTCTGTCTCATGGTCTGTCTCATGGTCTGTTTCATGGTCTGTCTCATGGTCTGTCTCATGGTCTGTCTCATGGTCTGTTTCATGGTCTGTTTCATGGTCTGTCTCATGGTCTGTTTCATGGTCTGTCTCATGGTCTGTCTCATGGTCTGTCTCATGGTCTGTCTCATGGTCTGTTTCATGGTCTGTCTCATGGTCTGTTTCATGGTCTGTTTCATGGTATGTCTCATGGTCTGTCTCATGGTCTGTCTCATGGTCTGTCTCATGGTCTGTTTCATGGTCTGTTTCATGGTATGTCTCATGGTCTGTCTCATGGTCTGTCTCATGGTCTGTCTCATGGTCTGTCTCATGGTCTGTCTCATGGTCTGTTTCATGGTCTGTCTCATGGTCTGTTTCATGGTCCGTCTCATGGTCTGTCTCATGGTCTGTTTCATGGTCTGTCTCATGGTCTGTCTCATGGTCTGTCTCATGGTCTGTCTCATGGTCTGTCTCATGGTCTGTTTCATGGTCCGTCTCATGGTCTATCTCATGGTCTGTTTCATGGTCCGTCTCATGGTCTGTCTCATGGTCTGTCTCATGGTCTGTCTCATGGTCTATCTCATGGTCTGTTTCATGGTCTGTCTCATGGTCTGTTTCATGGTCTGTCTCATGGTCTGTTTCATGGTCTGTCTCATGGTCTGTCTCATGGTCTGTCTCATGGTCTGTTTCATGGTCTGTCTCATGGTCTGTTTCATGGTCTGTCTCATGGTCTGTTTCATGGTCTGTCTCATGGTCTGTCTCATGGTCTGTCTCATGGTCTGTCTCATGGTCTGTTTCATGGTCTGTTTCATGGTATGTTTCATGGTCCGTCTCATGGTCTGTTTCATGGTCTGTCTCATGGTCTGTTTCATGGTCTGTTTCATGGTCTGTCTCATGGTCTGTTTCATGGTCCGTCTCATGGTCTGTTTCATGGTCTGTCTCATGGTCTGTCTCATGGTCTGTCTCATGGTCTGTCTCATGGTCTGTTTCATGGTCCGTCTCATGGTCTGTTTCATGGTCTGTCTCATGGTCTGTTTCATGGTCTGTCTCATGGTCTGTCTCATGGTCTGTTTCATGGTCTGTTTCATGGTCTGTCTCATGGTCTGTTTCATGGTCTGTTTCATGGTCTGTCTCATGGTCTGTCTCATGGTCTGTTTCATGGTCTGTCTCATGGTCTGTCTCATGGTCTGTCTCATGGTATGTTTCATGGTCCGTCTCATGGTCTGTTTCATGGTCCGTCTCATGGTCTGTCTCATGGTCTGTCTCATGGTCTGTTTCATGGTCTGTTTCATGGTCTGTCTCATGGTCTGTCTCATGGTCTGTCTCATGGTCTGTCTCATGGTCTGTCTCATGGTCTGTCTCATGGTCTGTCTCATGGTCTGTCTCATGGTCTGTTTCATGGTCTGTCTCATGGTCTGTCTCATGGTCTGTCTCATGGTCTGTCTCATGGTCTGTCTCATGGTCTGTCTCATGGTCTGTCTCATGGTCTGTTTCATGGTCTGTCTCATGGTCTGTCTCATGGTCTGTCTCATGGTCTGTCTCATGGTCTGTCTCATGGTCTGTTTCATGGTCTGTCTCATGGTCTGTCTCATGGTCTGTCTCATGGTCTGTTTCATGGTCTGTCTCATGGTCTGTTTCATGGTCTGTCTCATGGTCTGTCTCATGGTCTGTCTCATGGTCTGTTTCATGGTCTGTCTCATGGTCTGTCTCATGGTCTGTCTCATGGTCTGTCTCATGGTCTGTCTCATGGTCTGTCTCATGGTCTGTCTCATGGTCTGTCTCATGGTCTGTTTCATGGTCTGTCTCATGGTCTGTCTCATGGTCTGTCTCATGGTCTGTTTCATGGTCTGTCTCATGGTCTGTTTCATGGTCTGTCTCATGGTCTGTCTCATGGTCTGTCTCATGGTCTGTCTCATGGTCTGTTTCATGGTCTGTTTCATGGTCTGTCTCATGGTCTGTTTCATGGTCTGTCTCATGGTCTGTCTCATGGTCTGTCTCATGGTCTGTTTCATGGTCTGTTTCATGGTCTGTCTCATGGTCTGTCTCATGGTCTGTCTCATGGTCTGTCTCATGGTCTGTCTCATGGTCTGTCTCATGGTCTGTTTCATGGTCTGTCTCATGGTCTGTTTCATGGTCTGTCTCATGGTCTGTCTCATGGTCTGTTTCATGGTCTGTCTCATGGTCTGTCTCATGGTCTGTCTCATGGTCTGTTTCATGGTCTGTCTCATGGTCTGTTTCATGGTCTGTCTCATGGTCTGTCTCATGGTCTGTTTCATGGTCTGTCTCATGGTCTGTCTCATGGTCTGTCTCATGGTCTGTTTCATGGTCTGTCTCATGGTCTGTCTCATGGTCTGTCTCATGGTCTGTCTCATGGTCTGTCTCATGGTCTGTCTCATGGTCTGTCTCATGGTCTGTTTCATGGTCTGTTTCATGGTATGTTTCATGGTCCGTCTCATGGTCTGTTTCATGGTCTGTCTCATGGTCTGTTTCATGGTCCGTCTCATGGTCTGTTTCATGGTCTGTCTCATGGTATGTTTCATGGTCTGTCTCATGGTCTGTTTCATGGTCTGTTTCATGGTCTGTCTCATGGTCTGTCTCATGGTCTGTCTCATGGTATGTTTCATGGTCCGTCTCATGGTCTGTTTCATGGTCTGTCTCATGGTCTGTTTCATGGTCCGTCTCATGGTCTGTTTCATGGTCTGTCTCATGGTCTGTCTCATGGTCTGTTTCATGGTCTGTTTCATGGTCTGTTTCATGGTCTGTTTCATGGTCTGTTTCATGGTCTGTTTCATGGTCTGTCTCATGGTCTGTTTCATGGTCTGTCTCATGGTCTGTCTCATGGTCTGTCTCATGGTCTGTTTCATGGTCTGTCTCATGGTCTGTTTCATGGTCTGTCTCATGGTCTGTCTCATGGTCTGTCTCATGGTCTGTCTCATGGTCTGTCTCATGGTCTGTCTCATGGTCTGTTTCATGGTCTGTTTCATGGTCTGTCTCATGGTCTGTCTCATGGTCTGTCTCATGGTCTGTCTCATGGTCTGTCTCATGGTATGTCTCATGGTCTGTTTCATGGTCTGTCTCATGGTCTGTTTCATGGTCTGTTTCATGGTCTGTCTCATGGTCTGTTTCATGGTCCGTCTCATGGTCTGTCTCATGGTCTGTCTCATGGTCTGTTTCATGGTCTATCTCATGGTATGTCTCATGGTCTGTCTCATGGTCTGTCTCATGGTCTGTTTCATGGTCTATCTCATGGTATGTCTCATGGTCTGTTTCATGGTCTGTCTCATGGTATGTCTCATGGTCTGTCTCATGGTCTGTCTCATGGTCTGTTTCATGGTCTGTCTCATGGTCTGTTTCATGGTCTGTCTCATGGTCTGTCTCATGGTCTGTCTCATGGTCTGTTTCATGGTCTGTCTCATGGTCTGTTTCATGGTCTGTCTCATGGTCTGTCTCATGGTCTGTCTCATGGTCTGTCTCATGGTCTGTTTCATGGTCTGTTTCATGGTCTGTCTCATGGTCTGTTTCATGGTCTGTCTCATGGTCTGTCTCATGGTCTGTCTCATGGTCTGTTTCATGGTCTGTTTCATGGTCTGTCTCATGGTCTGTCTCATGGTCTGTCTCATGGTCTGTCTCATGGTCTGTCTCATGGTCTGTCTCATGGTCTGTTTCATGGTCTGTCTCATGGTCTGTTTCATGGTCTGTCTCATGGTCTGTCTCATGGTCTGTTTCATGGTCTGTCTCATGGTCTGTCTCATGGTCTGTCTCATGGTCTGTTTCATGGTCTGTCTCATGGTCTGTTTCATGGTCTGTCTCATGGTCTGTCTCATGGTCTGTTTCATGGTCTGTTCATGGTCTGTCTATGGTCTGTCTCATGGTCTGTCTCATGGTCTGTTTCATGGTCTGTCTCATGGTCTGTCTCATGGTCTGTTTCATGGTCTGTCTCATGGTCTGTCTCATGGTCTGTCTCATGGTCTGTCTCATGGTCTGTCTCATGGTCTGTTTCATGGTCTGTTTCATGGTCTGTTTCATGGTCCGTCTCATGGTCTGTCTCATGGCGTGATGATGGGACCCCTGAATCTGGCTCCTTCTATCTGCACCTGTGAGCTGGTCTCCCCTGGACCACAAGGGGGCACCACCACCCGATGTCAACGTTAACATGTCTGTGTCATGAATGGACTAAATCAGTGTTTTTCAACCCCTGTGACGCGGCACACTGTATGGTACTGTCTGGTGCCGTGATAAATTTGCCTACTTTGTCTAAAAATAATCACATCCACTGTTGGCCAGCGCTGACTTGTTTTGAACTGTGGAGTAAGCATGTAATACCTTTTCATATCAGTAGGTGGCATCAGAGAGCTTACAAGTAGCGAGGAGCATTGTGGCGAGAAATGTAAGAATTGGACGCGACCAACAAACGTAACAGGGAGCGAGGAGCAAGTCTGCGCCCGTCAAGTAATACCGAGCGCCGACCATCATCGCGCGAACAGAACCATAGACACGCAGACAGAACCACCGTGTCTCCCCCGTGTCTCCCTTGTGTCTCTCCCGTGTCTCTCCCGTGTCTCTCCCGTGTCTCTCCCGTGTCTCCCTTGTGTCTCCCTCGTGTCTCTCCCGTGTCTCCCTTGTGTCTCCCTCGTGTCTCTCCCGTGTCTCACTTTTGTCTCTCCCGTGTCTCTCCCGTGTCTCCCTCGTGTCTCTTTCGTGTCTCTCCCGTGTCTCCCTCGTTTCTTTCCCGTGTCTCCCTTGTGTCTCTCCCGTGTCTCTCCCGTGTCTCCCTCGTGTCTCCCCCGTGTCTCTCCCGTGTCTCTCCACTGTCTCTCCCGTGTCTCTCCCGTGTCTCTCCCATGTCTCTCCCTTGTGTCTCTCCCGTGTCTCTCGCGTGTCTCCCTCGTGTCTCTCCCGTGTCTCTCCCGTGTCTCTCCCGTGTCTCTCCCGTGTCTTTCCCGTGTCTCTCCCGTGTCTCCCTCGTGTCTCCCTCGTGTCTCTCCCGTGTCTCTCCCGTGTCTCCCTCGTGTCTCTCCCGTGTCTCCCTCGTGTCTCTCCCGTGTCTCTCCCGTGTCTCCCTCGTGTCTCTCCCGTGTCTCCCTTGTGTCTCTCCCGTGTCTCTCCCGTGTCTCTCCCGTGTCTCCCTCGTGTCTCCCCCGTGTCTCTCCCGTGTCTCTCCCGTGTCTCCCTTGTGTCTCTCCCGTGTCTCCCTTGTGTCTCCCTTGTGTCTCCCTCGTGTCTCTCCCGTGTCTCTCCCGTGTCTCTCCTGTGTCTCTCCCGTGTCTCTCCCGTGTCTTTCCCGTGTCTCTCCCGTGTCTCCCTTGTGTCTCTCCCGTGTCTCTCCCGTGTCTCTCCCGTGTCTCCCTCGTGTCTCCCCCGTGTCTCTCCCGTGTCTCTCCCGTGTCTCCCTCGTGTCTCTCCCGTGTCTCCCTTGTGTCTCTCCCGTGTCTCTCCCGTGTCTCTCCCGTGTCTCCCTTGTGTCTCTCCCGTGTCTCTCCGTGTCTCTCCCGTGTCTCCCTCGTGTCTCTCCCGTGTCTCGCTTGTGTCTCCCTTGTGTCTCTCCCGTGTCTCCCTTGTGTCTCCCTTGTGTCTCCCTCGTGTCTCTCCCGTGTCTCTCCCGTGTCTCTCCCGTGTCTCTCCCGTGTCTTTCCCGTGTCTCTCCCGTGTCTCCCTTGTGTCTCTCCCGTGTCTCTCCCGTGTCTCTCCTGTGTCTCCCTCGTGTCTCTCCCGTGTCCCTCCCGTGTCTCTCCCGTGTCTCCCTCGTGTCTCTCCCGTGTCTCCCTCGTGTCTCCCCCGTGTCTCTCCCGTGTCTCTCCCGTGTCTCTCCCGTGTCTCTCCCGTGTCTCCCTTGTGTCTCCCTTGTGTCTCTCCCGTGTCTCCCTCGTGTCTCCCCCGTTTCTCTCCCGTGTCTCCCTCGTGTCTCCCCCGTGTCTCTCCCGTGTCTCTCCCGTGTCTCCCTCGTGTCTCCCCCGTGTCTCTCCCGTGTCTCTCCCGTGTCTCTCCCGTGTCTCTCCTGTGTCTCTCCCGTGTCTCTCCCGTGTCTTTCCCGTGTCTCTCCCGTGTCTCCCTTGTATCTCTCCCGTGTCTCTCCCGTGTCTCTCCCGTGTCTCTCCCGTGTCTCTCCCGTGTCTCCCTCGTGTCTCCCCCGTGTCTCTCCCGTGTCTCTCCCGTGTCTCCCTTGTGTCTCCCCGTGTCTCTCCCGTTTCTCCCTCGTGTCTCTCCCGTGTCTTTCCCGTGTCTCTCCCGTGTCTCCCTCGTGTCTCTCCCGTGTCCCTCCCGTGTCTCTCCCGTGTCTCCCTCGTGTCTCTCCCGTGTCTCCCTCGTGTCTCCCCCGTGTCTCTCCCGTGTCTCTCCCGTGTCTCCCTCGTGTCTCCCCCGTGTCTCTCCCGTTTCTCCTCGTGTCTCTCCCGTGTCTTTCCCGTGTCTCTCCCGTGTCTCTCCCGTGTCTCCCCCGTGTCTCTCCCGTTTCTCCCTCGTGTCTCTCCCGTGTCTTTCCCGTGTCTCTCCCGTGTCTCTCCGTTTCTCCCTCGTGTCTCTCCCGTGTCTTTCCCGTGTCTCTCCCGTGTCTCTCCCGTGTCTCCCTCGTGTCTCTCCCGTGTCCCTCCCGTGTCTCTCCCGTGTCTCCCTCGTGTCTCTCCCGTGTCTCCCTCGTGTCTCCCCCGTGTCTCTCCCGTGTCTCTCCCGTGTCTCCCTCGTGTCTCCCCCGTGTCTCTCCCGTGTCTCTCCCGTGTCTCCCTTGTGTCTCCCTCGTGTCTCTCCCGTGTCTCCCTCGTGTCTCCCCCGTTTCTCTCCCGTGTCTCTCCCGTGTCTCCCTCGTGTCTCCCCCGTGTCTCTCCCGTGTCTCTCCCGTGTCTCTCCCGTGTCTCCCTCGTGTCTCCCCCGTTTCTTTCCCGTGTCTCCCTCGTGTCTCCCCCGTTTCTCTCCCGTGTCTCCCTCGTGTCTATCCCGTGTCTCTCCCGTGTCTCTCCCGTGTCTCTCCCGTGTCTCTCCCGTGTCTCTCCGTGTCTCCCTCGTGTCTCCTCCATAGACTGTGAATATTTCGTCTCATCCCAAAGCGCAACCAAAACTCCCAAAATTAAAGCTCGGATACCTACATTTTAGGTCCGTGCACAAAAGAAAAATGTTGTGAACAAATCAAAAAGAACACACAAAAGGCAATTTTTTTATATTATTCGGTATACTTAAGAGCCCTGTGAGTCAGAATTTGACTTTTTTGGCTGAGATTGGACTTTTTTATGTTTCTTTCTACACAGTTAGTGCCACTTTATTCCCAAACTCTTGTTAACTCATTGTATTGGGAAAAAATAAACAAAGCTTTATGTCAAGGCCTGGATTTAAGAACTTTGATGAGAATGACTTCATATTGTCAATATAGGCTACAGACTATATGTTTTTACATTTTCTCCTGGTGGTGTGTCTTAAAAAGGTTGAAAAACACTGGACTATATCAACTGGATTTATATAATCTGGTATTCCTTCTTAAGGCGGTCTTCATGGTGATGGACTATGAAGACAGGAGATGGGGTTTCTAGTGTCCCTTGTCCTCATTCACTTTTTACATTTTGAAATCCGTTGTTTTTCTATAAATCCACACACTCTGCTCACTCTCCTGTCCTGCTCTAACTCTGCTCTGATTCACGGGAATAGAACCACTCTACAGCTCTCTGGTCTCTCTCAGACCAGAGAGAGACCAGAAAGTGTCAGGGAGTATCAGCATTCTGTGGGTCATAGTCGAAGCAGAACTCTCAGACCTCAGTGAGATGCAGAAAGCTTTACATCAGCATCAGGACATCATGAACCGTGAGTCCCGGTGTCACGGCTAAATGTTTCTGTGTTGGACGTCTGCCTCAGAGATCAGATGGTGTGGCTCCTCTGCTGGTTATGTCTCTGCTGGTTTTGTCTCTTGCTGGTGTTGTCTCTCGCTGGTGGATGCCAAGCGCCATATTCTAATGTATTCATCTCATAAACAAAAGCATTACTCTGGATTACACAGCATTGAACTGAATACAATACAATACAATTTACTCTTTTATAGCCCTCGGTCACAACAGAAGTAATCTCAGAGACTTAACAAGGAAAATCTCTTATATTCAGTTTCTCTCAAAGTAAAACCACAGAAGTAGTCACTCCACAGACTCCTCTAATAGTGGCAGAATGTACTATATAGTTGCTATGGTTACCAGCACCTGTGCTGCTCTTATGGAAATTCAAAGCCCAGAACAAAAACCAGAACCAGAACCCTTGGAGAGAGAAATGATAAAACATGAGGTCGTAAATGCTTGAATGGTTTTATCTTAATCTGAGCAGGATTCTCAAATGGGACAAAAACATTTAGTCTTATTTCAAGAATTATTGCTTTATTATCTCATTCAATTCTTTATCTTTTTAAAACAAGATGATTTTGCTTTCTCACATTGTAAAATCATGTTTTAAGGCTCAGTCAGAATGTGCTCAAATAAAGATACATTTGGTTTTCATATCATTTTGCAGTGTACTGACTTCATGTTGGTCTGTTTGACATTAAAGGTCCAGTACTAGCCAAGCAATGTTAGCTGTCAGACTGAAGTCGATGGTCCCTGAATTCTTGAGCAATTTGAGCATTTTCGGACTTGATTTTTGTCATCATCTTATACTTTTTCTCCTCCTTCCTACTGCTCTGTGTCTGCAGTTGCAACACTGACATTTCCCCACTCTGGCACCAACACAGGATCTCTCCATCTTTAATCTCTACACTCAGTTTCCCTCAAAGTAAAACCACAAAAGTATCACTCCAGAGACTCCTCCATCTCCCGCACACTTCCCAACTTTTCCCTCTAACTGCACTTTACCGACTCCGGCTTCTCTTCCCATCTTCATCACCGCCGTCCAGACATTTCCAACGAGCTCAGCCACAAAAGACAGAACTTTATATATATGTGCTCATTAGGCTTTCGCAAAGGCCTCCTCTTTCCTGGGGGCCCCGGCGAGTGCCTTTGTCTCCGAAAACCGATCCCAAGGCTGGGCAGCGGGAGTCCTGATGGAGCTGCTGCCATCCACACGCCGATGTACTCATGCGATACGACATCCGGAAAGAGGCACTTGAGCGCGAGGGAGGAGACGGATGAGGCTATTTTAACGGATCCATCCTGCGGCGCGGCGTTCCGGCTCGGGCTATAGCCCTGGAATGGCCACACTCGTCAAATGGAGAAAGAAGTGCTTTGCGTTTAAAGTCCATTGGAGTGGCGGACGTGGCCATACTTCACGCAAGATTATAGTAAGAGACAGACAGATTTAGATAGATACGTTTTTGTAAATGTATTCTATTGTGGTTTTAATGCTAAATGGCAAATTAAATTGAATCTGAATCTTGACGATTGATAGATTGTTCATAAGTAGGAGAAAATTCACTAAAAAACAACTCCAACCATTAAAATATTGGGTAATATGGTAATTTGGATCAAGCTCACTTTTCCTCCTATTGACTTCATTGTAAAATAAACTCCTCTAGCTCAGAAAAACTGTTTGTGTTACACCATTTTAGGTTCTTAAAAATAATCAACCCTGTATTAATTATAATAATAATATGGCATTGGTTTTATTCACTCAATGACACTTCAACATTTATTCTTTCACTCCAGAACATGTTTCTTATTGATCCTGGGGTTTTTATTTTGCCTGTACCTTTGTAAATCAATATGAGCCTATCTATGGACAGCTCGTCCATCAGAGGCTCCATTCGTGGCCGGAAACTCCAGTTTGTGTTAGCGACCAAATCCGGGTTTGCCAAAACGCACCATGGAGACGCCAAGACCTCGCCAGCACACAGGCGACTGAATGACACATGTAACAGATTTAACACACCATGCAACGCTTCCAAGTGTTCACCCTGAAGACGCGCTCACGCACGCTACATGTCACAAACACAGTCCCTATACTAGCAGTAGTCAATGAATGGGTTTGGGCGTTGCGCGCAGCCACCATGGCACCGGGCGCGCGCATCTTCACATGCGCTCCGTGGGACAGCGTCCTCAGGGACGGGCTCACCCCGTCACCCCGTATTAATGCTGTTTCCTGTTTAGACCATAGCTGTTTGTTTTAACGTCCACATACTGTGACCTCTCTGTCTGATGTTGAGCCACTTCACTTCCGGTTCAGACAGGAAGTGTCAAAATAAAATAGAAATTGTATTAATAATCATACGTCAACTAATCATTCTTCACACAAGTGTATTCTATCTTAATCTAAATACATTCTGACTGTCTCAGAAAAAGATTCTCCAACGGGACAAAGAAAAGTTATCTCAAGAACTGTTGCTTTATTTTCTCATTCCAAAGGAGACATTTATTGTATCTTTTTAAAACGAGATCATTTTGCTTTGTCTTTGTCCCTCTGGAGAATAATGTTTTAAGGCTCAGTCAGAATGTGCTCAGATTGGGACACACTTTGCCCTTTAAACGTGGTCAGAAGAAGTCTGTCTCAAGACTGGTTAAACATTGGTGTGTGCAGTACCCAAACTGTCCACCAGGATGTGAAGAGAGACATGTGGCTAAACCTATACTTTCTGACCTTTGAAGACGTTTGGTTTGGGACTATGCTTAGGTAATCAGGAGTGGGAGAGAAGGTGACTATAAAGGATCTGCAGGAAAAAGCCAAATCCTGTGAGACCTCTGAAGCTAAACAGGGCAGGGCCTGGTTAGCACTGTGATGGGAGACCTCAGGGGACACCAGGTTCATTCATTTTCTGCCCCTTTATTAGTCCATTTCTGGGTCGGGGGGGTGGTAATGAGCGCTGCACCCATTGCTCATAGCACCAGTCCCTCTGATCCTCTGCAGGGGGTGGGTCCACAGGAAGATGGCTGCTACATTAGTGGTGCCACAGCCTTAGCGTTTCAGTAGGGGATTCAGGCAAAGTGGGGTTCAGTGTCTTGCCCAAGGACACAACGACAGCAGACATCAGTGGGAGCAGTTGGAGTAGGTCCCGAGGTTGTCTTGAACCCGCGACCTTCCAACCCAGAGGCCAATGCTCTACAACTGAGCTACTGTCGCCCCCGACATTATGATCGAAAAGTAAACCAGTATTAAAGCAGAGGTTACATTTGAGTTCTGGCCCATGTCTTCATACATTTTCTTCTGCTTTATTCGTTGCCGGGTTGCAGGGTCAGCAGGCTGAGTTCACAGAGAATTCTCTAAACAAGTCTCTGCTTTGAAAACACCAGACGCTCTTCGACCCAAACACACGCTCACAAACTTCAGACCAACTTCTTCAACTCCGACATGATTTAATCGTCTCTTCCCCGTCTGCAAACAGCCGAGGCGTCGTCCAACTGTGTGAACATCTGACTCAGTGGGAGGCGGCGGAGACTCAGGCAGTGAAGGATGGGAGCAGAGTGGAGCAGATGGAGGAGGTGGAGGAGGTGGAGATGGATGGAGCAGAAGCCACACTCCGTCTCCCAGATTACCTCGTTCCACCAGTATTCCCCGGGACACGTCGTGAATAACATTTTGCAGCCTGTAACATTTTACACCGTTCACGCAGCAGCGAATATGTCACCGCTGCCTCTGTCGGGGAAACGGCTCTTTCTCTGACAAATGTTTGGGATGACGGATGACGAGGGCCACTGCACGAATCTCGCGACGGAGGAATGAAGCCAATGTGACTTATTTTTCTTCAGAAAGGTGTTTTATCAAGTCACAGAGTCATCTACGAGTCTGCAGCCAACAACACAGGCTCTCAATCTGTAGTGTAGGTTATAAAAGCATCAAATAACAAGGTAAAGGTAAAAAGACTGCAATCTGAACTGCATATTTTTTGTATTTCTGCTTTTGAATTACTGTCTGTCTTGGTTCTGACCCACATTGTGACTGCAGTGTCCATGTCTTTAGCTTGTGTCGTTAATATAATAAGTGAGGACGTCTCTGTTCGGATTCACTTTGATACAAATCTACAAAAAGCTTTGTCTCCTTTTGTTCGATCTGAAAGGACTCAATAATAACAGGTGTGATCGCTGCTGCCTCTGTCTACATTTCTCCATAAATGCCAGGTCCAAAAGTGTCTCTCGTCAGTGCAGATGGAAGGTTCAGTAAATAGCACTTGGAATAGCATCTTTTTTATATTGCTTTCATTGTGTCGTCAAAAAAGATTTGACTGACGTGTTCAGAATTTGATACAGAAATAAGGCCAAGAATGCAAGAGTTAAAAATAGAACATTTAATTCTCTTTACAATTAAATATTGATACAAAACCCTTGGAGCCATTAATTCTCTAAAACTAACCCTATGCTGAGCCATCCTAAAAACTTTCCCTCCAGGCCTGAAAATGTGCAGAGAACATGCAGGCGCTCTGCCATGTTCTCTGTCTCTATCCCTGCTCTGACTGACTCCAAGCCTCCAGCCTAAGCATAAAAAGAGCAGATGTCCAGGAAGAAGGGGGCGTGTAGTATCAGGCAGCTTCCGGTCCAGGGTCCGGCCTTTCCTCCGTCTCGCCAGACCTAAACAGAAATCATTCATGCACTACCCCTCCCTAATTCTATAGAAATATTACTTCCTTGAGATAAGACAGGAGGCTTTTCAAGGTCCACCTCCTTCTTCAAACAACGAAAGGATTAGCAGAATCCCCCCAGATTAACTATCATTAACTCATATTTCTGCACTTTTGGACTACCAAGGAACAAGGGGAGACCAGGTCTTTTTGCTTGGGAAAGAGACAGAGTTCAATTCCGGGTCAATCAAATTCACATCTGCCTTTAGTCTATATTTAATACAACAATTGTGATGTTGATTTTCCACCAGAGACTTGAGTGCATCGTGCGCTCTGCAGAAGGAGATCGGCCGCAGCCTCACTGCAAGACCTGACGACGCCGAGCTCAAGGCCGAGCTGGTCATATCACTGCTGACCCCTCTCACCTGCACATGGACTGATCCAACCTTTCCCCTCTCACCTGCACATGGACTGATCCAACCTCTCCCCTCTCACTTGCACATGGACTGTTCCAACCTCCCCCCTCTCACCTGCACATGGACTGTTCCAACCAGTAGCGGCGCCAGGTTTGCAATTTTGGATAGGCCTGCAGATTAGTAAGTAGGCCAAATTCGCTTGCAAACTACAAGGGCTAGCTGGAATTAGGGTTTCAAAGAATATGGCTCAAACGCACACACGCACGCACACGCACTCAAGCACACACATACACACAAGCTCATTTATGAAACTTGCGTAGAAAAAGGTGTACATTTTGGGTGTATATTCCATTTACGCAAAATCCACTGTCGGATTTATGAACGTGTGAGATCCGCCCAGTTCTGAGCGTACGCAGCTGCGGGTGTTGATAAATCGACTGAATACGAACGTATTTAGTCACGCCCAGAATTATGCAGCAATCGCGTGTTTCACGCCCCGTCTTCGTGACAGGTCAGCAGGAAGCCGGCCAAAAAGACTGTTTGGAAGCCTCAAAAGGCACGTTTGTTTGTTCATGTTTATGTAATAATAGATATGCGCTATATATTCAGCTGCGTGTTGAACAAATTTGCAAAAATGTTTTGATACATTAGAAAAATCTTTCTTGAATTGTAGAAGTGAATAAATATAGATTGATTGAATGAATGAATGAATTCATATATATTATGCAGCGGTGGTTCTCATGAATGAAGCGTCTGCAGCGTCTTGGACGCAGCCTGGCTTGGGGTAGAAGTGCGCATTGAGGCGCTGTACACTTCAGAGAGCGTTTGCGGTCCAGATTTCACAAAGAAACTCTGGAGTCAAAACTTCTGCACATGTGGCGCGACCTCTCACGGCACTCGCTGCGCACTCTGGACAGGGCAGTGAGACATTTGTGAGTGAGCAATACCATCGATGCGTTATTGGGGTGTGTGTCTGTGTGAGGCTTACACAAATCTAATGAAATAACACATTGCTTTACCAGATGTGAATGAGGAATACAAATAGCCGTGCGTAATTACGCAGCGCAGAGCCTGCCACAGCAATAGATGGGTCACACATCCCTGTTGCGTAAAGTGTATTTATATAGAGCCTTTCACTGTCCAGGATCACAAAGCGCTTCACATTTTAAAAACATACAGATCAAAATAATACACACACAAGTCAGATTTAATAGAAGGTTCTCATCATGAGCTGTGATTTATTCGAAATGTTTGCATGTTTCCATTAGACTTTTTCTGATGCG